AGATGGACTCAATGGAAACCAATGGAATCTGGACTCTAGTAGATCCACCCCTTGGGGTAAAAGCAATTGGTTGCAAATGGATCTATAAGAGGAAGAAGGGCCCCGATGGTAAGGCTCAGACCTACAAGGCTCGTCTTGTGRCGAAAGGATACACTCATAAAGAAGGAATCGATTATGAGGAAACCTTTTCGCCGATGGCCATGCTTAAATCCATTAGGATCCTGCTAGCTGTAGTAACATATCATGGTTACGAGATTTGGAATAAGACTAGCCACCTTAGATAATTTTGAGATATCTTCTAACATCAAGTCAATACAATAGGTTGCACATGATGTCCAATATATGTGTTTTTTTATTTCCTTTTAACATTTTCCCACCTACTTTGTAAGCACTTCCATTGTCAATTATGATTTGGACAACATTTTCATGACCAATTTCATCAATAATTGAATTTATCAGTTTATATAAATATTGTGCTTTATGGCGCTCACTTGATGCATCAATAGATTTGTGAAATACTGTTTGTCCATTGCAATACATCATAAAATTTATGATGGACAATCTGGTTGGCCCTGTCCAACCATCACACATGATGGTAAGCCTATAAGTGTCAGCCTTCTTATAGAATGCCTTGAAATGGTATTGTAACTCAACCACTTCTTCATCTAAAAACTTTCCCATCACCTCATAAGCTGTAGGCCCCTTTAAACATTTTCCTACATTGGTCATTTCATCTATCATAACTTGATAATCTGGGGAGGTTGTTACATTTGTAGGAATGTGATTGTATAATAAAAACTTTGCAATTGCTCTTTTCATATTATGTCTAAAGCTTTTCTCATAACACTCCTTAAGTTTTTCTGTGTAGCATCCCTGTCTCTGTATAAATATCTATCCATCTCTTCAATATTAGGAGTGTCCCTACTTGAAGATTTTTTAAAGGGATTTAGCTTTGAAAATGCTCCATTCATACTTGGTGTATGAAATAATTTACTTTTACTCCTTGACAATGACGTTTGTGATGAACCACCACCCCCTTGATACTCTGAATCTACAAATACAGACCTACTTCTCTGAAATCGTTGTACTTACTCATCTTCCCACCATGTAGCTCGTGATGCATGTCTTCCCATGTTATGTGTTCTTTGCTCTGCATCATCATCATCATCATCATCATCATCATCATCATCATCATCATCAACGTTAAAATATTGAGGCCTTGATTCTATGTCCTCCTTTCCTTCATCATCATCATCTCTAGGCCCCAATGTTCTTCTAATCATTTTTTTCTCCTTTTCTTGTTGCTTTCTCAACATTTCTTGTTCTTTGAAGTGTTTCTGCATCGCCTTAGAAATTTCTTGTAGGTATTTAGGGAAATTAACAACATTAGGATATCATCTAGCTAAGTGATGTTTCAAACGGGTCACACCACCACCTTTCATAACTTGCCCACAAAATTTGCATTTTGCATGGAGTCGATTCCCATCAACCCTAGTGCCATATTTCCAACCAATATCTTCTTCTTCCTTTTTTATGAGTGCCATGTCGAAGGGTTAAATGGTCAAATTCTAAATCCCAACTCCCAAGTAGCAGTGTGTCACAGTCTCACAGATTCACAGTGTTACACTATCATAATGCATATGCACAAAAATTAATTAGAATTTAGAAGCAATAATTAATCATAAATCTAAGTATTTAACAAGTATTTAAATAAATTATATAATTGAAAAATAACAATCATTAATTATCAAATAACCAATTATCCATCATATATATGTATTTAATCACAAATATCCACCATGAATCACATAAACATTCAATTATTATATAAATTATCCAGTTTTAAATATTAATGTGTTAATAAACAAATGTTATCTAATCTAATTAAACAACTAACAACTATTGAATCAAATAATTATGTAAAATTTCCAATTATTTAATCAAACACTTTTCTATATCTTATTATCTTTTAAATAATTATTTTATCTTTATTATAATAATTATTTTGCATGTTTTATTCTAATTTCTAAAAATTAAACAAATATTTTTTTCTAAATGGCTTCATGGACATCTATTATTTTTATTCTTAAATTAATAATTATTTTGCATGTTTCATTCTAAAAACTAAATAATTATTTATTTTTATTCAAATAATTATTTTGCACATTTTATTCTAAAAATTAAATTAAAATTTGAAAAAATTAAATATATAATAGAAAAATTGAATGGATTTATGGACATAATAGATCAAGTAATTATTTTKCATGTTTCATTCTAAAACCTAAGTAATTATTTATTTTTTCAAATAATTATTTTTCATTTTTTATTCTAAAAATTAAATTAAAATTTGAAAAATTAAATATATAACAGAAAAATCGAATGGATTTATGGACATAATAGATCAAGTAATTATTTTGCATGTTTCATTCTAAAAACTGAGTAATTATTTATTTTTTTTCAAATAATTATTTTACATATTTTATTCTAAAAGTTAAATTAAAATATGAAAAATTGTATATGTAATAGAAAAATTGAATGGATTTATGCACATAATACATCAAATAATTATTTTTCATGTTTCATTCTAAAAACTAAATAATTATTTATTTTTATTCAAATAATTATTTTGCACATTTTATTCTAAAACTAAATTAAAATTTAAAAAATTAAATATATAACAGAAAATTTTAATGGATTTATGAACATAATCACATAATAGATCATCCATATATTTACTGTAATCTATAAATATTTATTATTAAAATTTAGATCATAGCAAAAAATTAGATAAATAAATAAATATTTATAATCTAAAAATAAAAAATAAAAAAAACAAACTAAATATCTCACATGATAGATCAATCTTATGGAATTATATATCATGTTAGATCAATCTTAGATCTACAACATACTCAAGTCTCAACATATAGGGTTAGATACTTAGATCACATAAAATTGAAGAAATTATATATTTATTTTTTATTCCGAAAATTAGAATAAAATTAAAAAAAAAATCAATTATTTAGAAAAAATTCAATTGATCTGTGGACATGGTAGATCATCCATAGATCTACAACATAGTCCATTTCTAGAGGTATATCACAAGAAAAAACTAAAATTTTTATTTTTTTCGGATTTTTTACTATTTTGGAATTTCTTGAAATGTTGACAAAGATCTACATATAGCATCAAAATACATGTGATTTTTTGCACAAAAATAGTAGATCAACACAAATACGTTTTCAAGCATCCAAGTTAAAAAAAAAAAAAAACACAAAAAGATTGGCTGAAACAGCAAAAAAAAAAAGATAAAACATACCTATTTTTGCAGTTTTTTTAACAACCTTGAAAAAGTTGTTGGATCTTGCAAACTTGTAGATTTTTTGGTGGATTTAGTAGATCTGAGTCTCTAACAATGGTATGAGCGTTTCTGGAGAGTTTGGGGAAGAAAGACGGCTTCTAAAATAGGTTTAGAAGCCCTCGTTCGAAGGAGTTTTTATTYGCTATTCGCGCACAGTAAAGTCATAGCGTATCGCCCGATACGGTGCCGAAATGGGCCGATACTGGCTGATACGGCCACGATACGACAAATAGATATGACACATATAATTTGGTACTATGTAACGTGCCGCATCTCTACCGGAACGATATGTATCGGCCGGTATGGGCCGATACATGACGAAATTTTGAACCTTGATAGTTAGTAATATATTTTTTAAGATTTATTTGAAATTTTACCATATTTATGCATATCTTGATTTTTTGTCTGTATACATATGTATCCAAAGCGTATCCCGATGTCTCTTAAAATTATTTCCAATACACCTTGTGTTTCCGATACTTTGAACCTCGATTAAAACTGATTTATTGAGTTGTGCTTGATTATAAAAAAGTTAGGATGGCTGCCCACTCAACAATTTCGAAAAAAAATGTATTAAAGACCGACGACGGGAAAAATGTGGATAAGGTGAAAATAGAGAGCTGGGCTAGTTAAACAATGGAATAAGATATTAGAAAGAGATAAGGAGGTTTGACTCCCAACAAAGAGAAAAATCAAGGGGAAGCTTGGTTGGTTGGAGTCTGGTTCAATGGAGAGAGAGAGAGAGAGAGAAATGGATATTCTAGGCCAAAATGTCACAACTAGCTTTCATTCAAGCAAGGTTCAAAGTATAAGAAACGCAAGGTGTATCGGAAAGACAATTTTAGGAGACATATCGGGATACGCTTTGGATATGTATGGATGCAGACGAAAAATCAAGATATGCATACATATGGTAAAAAATTCAAATAAATCTTAAAAAATATGACTAACTATATTTACAAATTTTATATGATTGTAAATAAATTATTTAAATGTAAAAAACCGTAATTTAATGATTTATATAAAGTGTGACATATCGTAACTGTTGAAAAAATGATGAAATAACTAAAATGTAAAAAAAGAAAAACTAAAATGTAAATGCCAATTTTCAAAAACCAATTTAATTAATCTTAATATTTATTAGTATATAAATTATAAATTTTAATAATTAATTCTAACATTTATTAATAAAAACTTGTCACTCATTAAGAAAAGTGAAAATTTACTTAAAAATTAAAAATACATATAATCATATCAAACAAATGTATGGTTCATTAGCAAACTTGTGGTTGTTAAAACTTAAAATCAAGTGACCAAGGTTCGAATCTTGTTATAGAAAAAATTTGAAGTTTTTACACTAAAAAAACGAAATTAATGATAAGGGATCATTAATTAAAGGAATTAATGAAAAAATTTGAATTAGACGCTAAAATTCAAATTTAAATTTAAATTTGCCTTGAAGTAATTGACTAATTAATGAAAGAAAAATTAGACTTAAATAAATGACATTAAGGAGAGACTTGGTATTAAATATGGATTAATGAATAATGATAGAGATTTGAACTGTATCAGGCCCGTATCGACCGATATAGGTCCAAAACAGGCTGATATAGTCTCGTATCAGCCGATACATACGATAAAAAACAAAACAAATAATTTACATACATTCCGCATATCAAATTCTTGTCGGAACGATACGTATCAGCCAATACGTACCATACGTTGCGATATTCTGAACCTTGCATTCAATGACGGGGTTTCTTATGATAAGATTCCAACAACTGGCTCTTTCAATGGAGATTTTCCGCCCAACTCTAATTCCTTATTTACAGCTATATGCCATTACAAGTTTTTCTCTTGTACTGAGAGCGGATATTCTAGGCCAAAATGTCGTTAATAATAAAATGCAGTAACCGACGTCAACATTTAAACGACAAAAAAATTAAGAGATATCTTAGCCCAATAACATAAACTGCAATTATACTATAAATATAAAAAGCCATCATGGAGGCTCCAACGTGCGAAGTGGTGATCAAACGTAGTTCCTTCTCCCCTCCAATCTAATCCCAACAGTGGTACAACCACAGGCCAAAAAGTGCAAAGTTTACAAAGTGCAATCACCTGCCCATAAATCATAAATTTACATTACTATTGGGTCTAAAATTTCATGTAACAGATAATTAGGACAAACACCCGTTTTAATCAAAAACTCAGTTTAGAAGACAACAAAATACTATAATGATACATTCTAAAGATAATAATTTACAAATCTCGTTGTCAAAAAGAAAAGAAAGATACTTTCATTGACGCCAAACACTCAAATTACTTAAGAAATATCCAAGACCCAATTGACATCTAGGTGTTGTTTAATAGTGCCGAATGGACCACTGGAACTTGATATTTGTGTCTTTCATAGCTTTGAGGTTGTTTGGTAGCAACTTCTAACGGACCCTCTTGAATCCACAAACACCTCATAAAATTTTGGCTGCTCTGCTACCTCTTAAAACAAACAGACATAATGGACAATTTTAAACCCCACAATGTACCTTTTTAACTTTTGATATCCTCATTTTAACTTTGTTCATAAAGCATAAATTTATCTTTTATCTTCTCTGTTGATCCTAAGTGTTTTGATGATTACTAGTAATTCAGAATATTAATGTTGTAAAAAGATACATACACGGCTTTCTCAGTTATCTAAAAAGAATTGATAACAAACTCGTTGAGATCATGATGATCTGAGACACAGAGGAGTAGCTTTATCTAGTGATGGACTAAACTCTCTCCAAATAAGAAGCTATCTACCAAGAAAACGTCAAGCACTAGAATTTTCGGCTTGTTTCATTTCTTTTATTGTAATCATTTGCAAGATGCACTACAATGGACTTAATTGAGACCTACCTTGGCATTACTAAAACCTTAGGAGCCAATGGTTTAGATTTAAAAGGTGACTAGGATCTCCCCAAATTTTACACTTAGCTTAATTTCCAAAATTCTAAGTGTTGATGCCGAAGAAATTGACTCCTAAACCATAGGAGTTGTCCACTTAAAGCTTCAAAGGTTGGACATAGTGGCCAACAACATATAATGAAGTAATCAACTACCTTTGACAATCGAATCTAATGTCACACTAGTCCAACTTATAATTGACTAATGAAAATGTAGTATTCAACTATGTATTGTTAGACAGTGTATATAACCTTAACTCCAATCAGATTGATGTACTTGATGACATTTATTGTAAATGAATAAAAGTACATAATTGATTCATGTGTTTTTTGTATGTTTCTGTGTAATACCCTTAAACTGGACACCTATGAGACTCATGTTACTTCAGAATCTTCACAGCCGTTGGATAGATTTGGGGAGATTTATCCTGTCAAGGCTAACACTGATGTGCCGCCAAGTTGGTTGGGGTGGCTTATCTCAACTGTCAATGTGAGACCTAAGGTGCATGTAGTGTGGGTTTTCTTGAAACCCTGAACCGAATCAAAATTCCAGTATTGCCCTGGACCTTGGAGATAGATGGGCAAAACTGGAATGTTACACCCGACTCCTAGACTCGATTATGAAATTGTACTAGGTGTCGGATTGGGCTATCTTTGATGTGCCGATCAGTGAGATCCTTAGAGGGGGTCAAAATCTGGGTATGTTGGGACAGTCCGAGAATTCATTTGAGTGGGTGATCATAGTGATAGGAGCAGCCCCTTTGTCGGACAAAGTGAATTGTCGGAGATGCACTTTCTCTGATGGAAACCTAAACTGCCGGTAATTGATTTTAATCGTTGAAATTTGTTTTTGCAAAATATATTTATACAGAGATATACATACATACATACATATATATATATATATATATATATTTCAAAATGTTTGCAAAAGGTTTTAATTCCCGGGATTCATGTGAGTAGAGAGTGTAGCACTGTTCCTTGCAGCCGAGGGAAAGGTCCTCTCTTGTCCGGTAGTGTTTGATCATTATGGGCTGTGAGGTTAAATGTAAGACCATCGAGGGTAATACCTGATGGACTAATCTTGCATCTGCCCACAATCCTTGGATTTCCATAAGGTGGTTAGACCCAAGGACCATTTAGTGTAAATATTGGGCYCATTAAGAGCCCATAGTGATGTACTCAGGGGTTCATTGTCTCGTACAGTGAATTAGGCCAGGCCTTGTAACAAACGCTGGGCTGAACCCATGTGGCTGATGTGTAGATCAATGTTTGGGTCCCACGCCATACAAAGAGAGCCAACTGGGCAACAGGTTAAGAGGTTAAGTGAGCACATAAACTTAATGGGCCTAAAGCCCAATTCGAACTAGGCTTAAGTTAGTTAATTAAAAGGAGGCAAGATAGGATTTATAATCTGATTAGGATTAGCTGAAAGATAAGATAAGTCTTATCCATTCAAGAGTCTAGATCCAAATATCAGATTTGGATTAAGGAACTCTCTCCTAATTAGATTAGGAGGCTGATCCTGATAAGGCTATAAATAAAGGGGGCGAATTCCTCAGTTACACAACACAGCAATCTGCAGAGTTCTTCCTTGTTCTTGCCACCCCTATCCAGTTCGATCTCCACTTGTGGGAGTGATCAAGAATTGTTCTTGATATTGCTTCTTGGTAGAAGAAGCAATCTGAAGTCATGCTCACTAGCCCTCTATTCCATTCTTGCTGAAGAATTCGGTTCTTGCTGAAGAGCCATCCTGCTAATCCTGCTTCACTACACACAGTATCATCTTCAGTGGAAGCGAGTTTTGGTTTTCTCCTTAGACATGAACACCTTCATTGGGAGTTACTGCTACTTTGTATCAGGTATATCCCCCTCATTTTTGTTTTAGATCTGGTCCGGTTTTGGTTCAAAATTGATCCTTGAAAATGCAGTTTTCTAAATTGGGAATAGGATTCCCGGATGGGAGTAAAGAAATTTTTGAAATTTCACCTAACCTTTCTGTAGGGTTCGGCCATCCATATGATGGATCTCCCATCCCTTCAGTCTAACAATCGAGAACAAGATACATCGAATAGTAATCAACAAGTGAAAAAAGATTCTCTCCTACAAGTAGTAGTGAACTACTTGAAATACCTACTTCTGACAAGATTGAAAGGGTTGACTACTTCACAAAGAAGAATTTTGACCATTTAAAAATTCTTCGGCTCTTTCCACTTTTGGTAAGCCTTCAAAAATATTGGAAACAAGCTTTAAACATTTCTAAGAATAATGGAATCCCTTCCAAGTGGCTCTATAACAATCTGATCTCTCTAAGCTCAATTCTTGCTTTATATATATGAATTTAAACTGAAAATCTCAAATAAGTGCATTGAACTAAATTGTGAAAAGCGAAAAAAAGAGCAAAAGCAAGATAACAACTTTGTTTAAGGAGATTTTGAGCAAAAAGAGAACAATTGAAAATCCAAAAATCATTAATCTCTTTAGTGCATAGCCCATACTTATTATAATTGATCAACTAGTGGTTTCTAACTAATAGTTGGTGAATGCTCAATGATTGAACACTATAAAAGTTGGGATAGCACCTGTAAATCTATCCGGTTTAAGGTCTTGTTGACACCTAGGAAGCCAAACTGTTGTAAAGATCTTGTTGGCACCTAGGAAGTTTATGTTGAACAAACAATTACATTAGTATGTAGGCTGAACCAACTAGGGTTTATTGGCCGAATTTCAATTTTTTTCAATCTGAAACCAAAGAATCGGATTCCCTAAATTTGGAGAATCAAATTCTCCTAAGATCGATCTAGCCATGGATCGACAGAGCCATATTTGATTTCAAAATAATTTGTTGTACAAAATACGGAGACCACAGAGTGCAGCTCTTAGAATGGTGGTTCACATCCAAAATTCAAGCTCAAATCGTCCTCCCAACTAAAGATGGCGTAGTTGATGTGAGGTTGCTCTCGCAACAAGTTTTAGTCAATTTCCCTTTCCAACTTGCTTGGATATTTGTAGCTGTTAACCACTTAATTTTTTGATGTTTTGCTAAAGAAAACAGTACAAAAAATAAACAGAAAGCACGCTTCTTATGACTAGGTCGAACTAGGGTTTTGGGTAGCAAGAGAGTAGAAAGAAAGGTGCAAGATCTCTACCTCTTACTCTCATATATAGTCCCAATTCTAATGTAATTATGACTATCCAAATCTGATTTGGATAGGACTCTAATTACATTAGATATTAAGGAGATCCATACCCATATTCGACACATTACACATGGCAACTTAAGTTGTCATGTGACTAACTAACTAACTAGCTAATGGGTTAAGGTCCATTACTTAAGTGGTTTAATAACATAACTGTTGCCAAGGTTTTATTTCAACACATATAGGTGCAGCCCATACGAGAATACACATGGGCTGAATTCACTGAGTAAATCTAATAAATCCCTGAGCCAATTGAATTGGGCTCAATATGGGCCCAACACTTAAGTTTAAGTGATCCTTGGTTTCAACCCACCCTATATGAAACCCAAGGATAATGGATTAACATAAGATAAAGCCCATCAAGTTTCAACACTTTAATGGTCTTTTGCTCTTAAACTCTTAACCCAAAATGATCAAACATTGCTCACAATAAAGGACCTCTTCCTTGACTACTAAATACAATGTGACACCCTCTATTCAGATGGATGCTTAGATTAAAACCTTTTGCAAACCCTTTTCATAAAATAACATATTATAAATATAAATACATTTTACAAAAAAAAATCAGAAACAATTGAAATCTACTGTCAATAGTTTTAGGTTTCCATTAGAGAGAATGTTCACCCTGATATTCTTTCGATCTAACAAAGGGGTTAATCCTCCCACAATGATCACCCACTTTGATAGTATTCTGAGCTGCTCCAACATTCCCAGGTATTTGATCCCAAGACAATCTCACTAATTCGTATAACAAAACAAACTGGTCGAAAACATAGTACACTATCATTATCAAATACGGGGTCAAGTGCAACTTTTCAATTTTTGTCCATCTATCTCCAAGGTCAAGGGCATAACTAGAAATTAATTCATGTTCAATGTTTCTTACAAACACCCACTGATTGTACTCAAGGTTTAACCCCAAAACTAAAGCAAGTTGCTCCACCATTTTGATAGTACATCAATGTTAGATTTG